GTGGCAAGCTCTGGATGAGGAGAGTGGAATGCAGACAGTATAGATCACTGTACAGTGTCTCTGCATACTCTTATTTCTAAACAGAAGGTGACTTGTGTTCCAGTGAATTCTCCATAGTGGATAGAGAAGCACATTTTCATAGGAGCCAGTGTCTTTAAAGTTAAGGCCCAATTGTCTGAAGTCTTGAGGTTTTTTTTTTTTTCATCAATAATAAGACTATATACATGGTATTTTAGGGCTTGTGCCTTTCTCTTGGAAGATTAATTAGCAAGAAAGTAATTAAGGAAAGAGTGCTCAGTTGCTATTGCTGAAGAACATTTCAGGTCTGGTGGTAGAGGCATATGCCTTTAATCCTAGCACTAGGGAGGCAGAGGCAGGCAGATCTCTGAGTTCAAGGACATTCTGGTTTACAGTGTGTACAGTGTGAGTTCCACAATAGCTCCAAAACTACATAGACAAGCCCTGCCTTTAAAAAAATAAGTTTCTGAAAAGCCATAAGTAAGGAAGTTCTTCATCTCCACAAGTGAGGAGGCAGTAGGAAGCTTGCTTTGAATAGTGACCACTTTGTGGGTCATGACTCTTCAAGGACTATATCTACTAGTGGGAAATATGGGACTTTAAGGGGGCATAATGGGACAGTTTTCTCAGTGGCCTAGATCTTAAGCTACAGCATAAGATCTATTTCTGTTAGGCTGCTTTACTATTGAAAATTACCATCATTTAGAGAATTCTAAAACAACTATGCAATTTGAAGTTGTTTCTTTGAGGGAACTGAAGAACTCAGCACCTGGCCCAGCAATAACTGACCCAGTTCTCTGGTGTTCTTTCACCATAAACCATCCCACCTAGCATAGAAGCTCAAGTGGTGGGTTCTCTTGCCTTCCTAAAGATTCTCCACAGGGAATCTTAGAACAGACTCAGAAAGAAAACCAGAATCGCATGCTCTGTCGTATTTTCTACAGTTTAGGTGAACTAAGATCTTCAGGCTCATCCTCTGATGTTAGGGTGAGTGGTACCTCCTAACTGGTCTTCCAGGAATACTTGGCACCATAGGGCTCTGATCACCACATCAGCTTCAGATTTAGTTTTTCGCTGAAATCTGACCGGATGGTTCTTGTCCTCTGTGCTTGGAATCCTTTTAGATAATTTTCTTTGTTGATGGCTGTGTGCTGTGGGACAATGGTCTGTGCCCCATCAATTATATTTTAACAAAATGCTGATTGGCCAGTAGCCAGGCAGGAAGTTTAGGCGGGGTGACCACACAGGAGGTAGAAATGGGGCAATGAACACAGGAGAATTCTGGGAAGAGGATTCTGCAGTCTGCCTTTGTGATCCAGACACAGAGGAAGCAAGATGTGACTTCCTTACCGAAAAAGGTACCAAGGGACATGGTTAACACAGAAAAGAATTATGGTCTGATATAAGTTATTAAGAATTAATTAATAAGAAGCCTGAGCTACTGGGCCAATCAGTTTACAATTAATGTAGACCTCTGTGTGATTCTTTGGGGCTGAATGACTGCAAGACTGGGCAGGACAGAAACCCCTAGCTAAAACTGTGTCTTACAATAACTTTTGGTTTTGTCACTTCACTGGGTATGTTTTAGCTAAACCTTTCACTATTAAGATAAGAATTTCTGCCATAGCAAGCTGATGGCAGGACATGCTGGCCTTACTTTCAGGGGAACCTTTTGGATTAGCCTGTGGAAAAATGATCTGCCATAAATCAAACAGTGGAGAGGAATATATTGGAATCGCATTTACACACCATCAGTAAAGCATAGCTCACTGAACAAATGAAGTTAGGTTTCTTCTATATCCCAGAATCTAAACATTATTCATCTATATATATGAATGTGTACATACACACACACACACACACACACACACACACACACACACACACATATATATATATTCTGCGGTTGTTTGCTTTAAATGGGTGTATTGGCAAATGTTATCATTTTTAATATTTTCTACAGAGAAAATATTTTCCAGTTTCAGATAACCCTGGGTTTTGAATTATATGTTTTTATGTTGAGGATGTCTGTGTATTTTTCTTCTGCAGTTGTACATAAACTATTTTTATCTTCACATGACTCACTGTATAAAGTACTGCCTTATGCCATAATAAAGATAATAATTCTTTATAAAATTATACTTTTACAAATATAACAATTTTATCTTTAAGATAAATGAGGTTGGAAAAGTAATGATAAAGACCTCTGCAGGATATGCAATTGAATGGAAGGACTCATATGCTTTCTATGCACAGAACATCATAAGCCAAATATAATGACCTGGAAATTCAGTCTTAGACATGTGCTTAAGTCCAGTCTGTGGTTCCCATAACTCAAAGATAATAATCATGTGACTTTACAAACAGTATGCAATTCTAATGGAAATCCTGATATCACTGGACAACTGGATCCCCTGGCTTTCCTACCTGTGATTTTCTAATTTAAATATTTCAGAATTCTGTGTAAGCTTATATTTTAGGGCTAAATTATATTCATGAATGTTTATCTCTTGAATCCGCATGCTTCTTCACAGACCATTTTCTTTATATTTGTCCATGCAGCTATATCTTCTGAGGCCTCTGTGTGCCTAAATTTCAAATTAAAAAATGTAAAATTGTCCTTCACCATTGCCTGAATCTTGGCTGACCATGACTTTGTCTGCTATTGTCTCCATTCTAGTAAATAGCAGCAGGGAAATTTTATTGCAACACTGAAGAAGGAAAGGCCTGGATTGTAACATGAGAGTCTATTTTTCACCCTGGCTGCTCAGCTAGCTGAGCCCTGAAATAATCACACAAAAACTGTATTCCTTAAAACTCTGCTTAGCCCATTAGCTCAGGCTTCTTCTTAACTCTTAAAACTTACATTAATCCATTATTCTTATCTATGTTAGCCACATGGCTCAGTACCTTTTTCAGAGAGGCAGGTCATATTTTGCTTCTTCTGTGTCTGGACAGGACTGGGGAGAAAGCTTCCCTCTTCCCAGAATTCTCCTGTTCTCATTGACCCACCTCTACTTCTTGTCTGGTTGTCCCGCCTATACTTCTTGCCTGGCTACTGGCCAATTAGCATTTATTGAAAATGTAATAGAACACAGAATTGTCCCACACCACTATCAGCATTTATTTAAACCATAATTGACAGAATATAGAATTGTTCCACACCACTGGACTCCAGTCCTCCTTCAAAACCCTTAACAGCCACTAAGTTCTGTTTCCAACATGTGTCTCTTTCTGCAAAGAACAGACTCATTTAATGTTAGGAATAACATAGGAGCATTTTACTTATTTTATTGTACCTGAACAGTCCAAGAATAAGAATATAGAAATGTAGGTTTGATGTAGGAAGCCCTTCTGTATTTGTGTTGCTTTCATTGGTTGAATAAAGAAGCTGCCTTGACCTTCTGATAGGGCAGTACTTAGGTAGGCGGAGTGGATAGGATGGAATGCTGGGAGGAAGAAGGGCAGAGTCGAGATGCCATGGTTCTCCTGCCCAAGATGGACGCTGTGGTTAGACTCATGCCAATAAGCCTCAAGTGTACTACTGGGGCTCAATGATTTTAAGTAGGGAAAAGTAATCTTTACACAAGGAATCCTATGTGATGTTAAAGATTATGTGATTATTTGTTGGAAGATATAACAAGTAAGGTATGTTTATTGTAAATCAACACTTGTAATCAATTCTATTGTAAAAAAGTTGGTTCATGTTTTTCTCCTACTCTAAGCAAAGTGAACTGATTTCACTTCTTTTATTTATTGAGAAAAGGAAAAAAAAAGTTTCAGCCTCCTCCCAGCCTCCCATTTCCTTCCCCCTCCTCCCCTTCACCCCACTCCTCTCCCCCTCCCTCTACAGTCCAAAAAGCAGTCAGGGTTCCCTGCCCCGTGGAAAGTCCAAGGTCCTCCCCCATCCGTCCATATCTAGGAAGGTGAACATCCAAACTCTTTTGACAATTTGAAAATTAAGTATGTCCAGTGTTGCTTCTGGGAGTTTGGTATGGCCTGGTCACATAATTAGCACAAAGATAATAGTATGGGCTATTATCCACCACCAGCCCCAGCTGTCAGAGTAGAAAATAGAGTATACATATTTTCATTGAATTGACAACAGTGTGTGTCTAACATTACTGACTTCCCCAGGGCTATCAATGAGCACATGAACCTTGTACTCCCTATAAATTACAGCATTTTGTACCTTCAGTTTTCTCCCTCCAACTCTGCTATATACCACACATCTCTGTTCTCCTTCAAGTTGGCCCTTTTTTCATGCATTGATATTTTTATACATAAATTTTATATGCATATATTCCTAAATACAAGGAGACCAACCAATACAATGTTACTATTATTGGACAAGCACTTTATGTGTTCTTTGGGGAATGGCACCTCTCCTACTCCCTGCTTTCCTAAATGACTAGAGTTCTTTGTTTGATATTGGTGCCTTGTATCTTTTCCTTGGCCAGCTTTGCATGCCCATTGGTATCATTCAACTACCTCACACCGATTTGAACTTCAATTATACAAAGTTTAAAGTAATCTATGTAGTGTGTCATTCTCTGTCCTACCAGTTCCCAAATGACAGGGAGACTACTTATTATGAATGCTTGGCCTTAACGTAGGCTTGTTTCCAATAGTAGGTCTAATAACCTAAATTAATCCATAGTTTAAGCCTACACTCTGCCACACACCTCACAAGCTCCTTCTTCCCTGTTTACTAGCAACTCACCTGCAAGACTCAATTTTTCCTCCTACTTCCTCTCTCTGCCCAGAAGTCCTGTCTATACCTCATGCCTAAATATTGTCCATCCAATCTTCCTATTAAATCAATCCCACCAATCCATTTCTACTGTACACACATCCTGTGACAAATCTACATCTATTTTATGACATATTTTCATTGTTGCTGTCACTATTGGAAGAGTTCACACTTATGATACCCAGCCATTAGAGAATAAACTATCAGAACAAAAACAATACAATAAAAATTGGTCAAAATGCTTAACAGTTTTATTGCAAAGGCACAGAATATAATACAAGCTGATATTTATTTAATATCACAAAAATCACAGGAAAATAATCTTTACACAGAGCATAATCTCATTACATAGGCAACCATATACCAAGAAAGTAAATATGCATCAAAATCTGAAATAGTATGACACTGGATTATTTTAAAGACTTATTTATTTATTTATTTATTTATACAGTATCCTGACTATAGGCCAGAAGAGGGCACCACATCTCATTATAGATGATTATGAGCCACCATGTAGTTGCTGGGAATTGAACTCAGGACTTCTGGAAGAGCAGTCATTGCTCTTAACTGCTGAGCCATCTCTCCAGCCCCCAACTGGATGTTTTTTAACACATTTCTAAACATACAGTCAAGAAATGTTATTGCTTAATTTACTCCTACTAGAAATATTTACTTATTTATAATAGTTAATGCATGAATGGTATGTTTACAACAATGATGTATAAATTCAGTTTACAACAAATGTTTAATGACAATAAAGTTCAAATTTGGATACAATGTTTCTAAATTTATAAGAACTTAAAGCTGTCTAAGTATTCACTAAGCTTTAAAAATTAATTGAAGGATGTGAGTCTCTGTAATATCTTGGTTAATGTATGAAGAACTGTACAATGAATTATTGTGAGGTATACTAAGAAATTTTATGAAATGTACATCATATATGAATTTTGTGATGCTTTCTAAGACTTGATTTTGTGTTAAAGGACTTGCCACATTTTTTACATTTGTAAGATTTGTCACCATTATGAAGTCTACCGTGAGCATGAAGAGCTAAGATCTCGGTAAAGGACTTGCCACATGCTTGACATCTGTAAGGTTACTCACCAGTATGAATTCTCTGATGATTATGAAGTGTTGAGACATGGCCAAAAGACTTGCCACATTTTTGACATCTGTACGGTTTCTCACCAGTATGAATTCTGTGATGACTGTGAAGATTTGAGACCCTGGTAATGGACTTGCCACATGCTTGACATCTGTAAGTTTTCTCACCAGTATGGATTCTGTGATGACTGTGAAGAGTTGAGGCCCTGGTTAATGACTTGCCACATTCTTGACATCTGTAAGGTTTCTCTCCAGTATGGATTCTGTGATGATTATGTAGAGTTGAGACATGGGCAAAAGACTTGCCACATTCTTGACAGGTGTAAGGTTTCTCACCAGTATGGACTCTGTGATGTCTGTGAAGAACTGACACCTGGGTAAAGGACTTGAGACATGCTTGACATATGGAAGGTTTCTCACCAGTATGGATTCTCTGGTGAGCTTGGAGATTTGCATGATGGGTAAATGATTTGCTATAATCTTTACACTTGTATTCCTTCTCTTTGGGATTAATTCTCTTATGCATAGTGAGGCATACACATCTGTATAAGCACCTTCCACATTCCATATAGTTGTTTTGACTTTCTTCATTTTGATTGTTTATATAATGCTTCTCTTGTTTCTGTTCATGCTGGAACAAAAATAAAGGTGTATGTTATAATAAAAAAATTCTCCTTACAATTATTGTGTATGTATTGGCTCTTAGGAAAAACAGACTTATTCTATGTGTTTAAATAATGATAAAGCCATATTGTGAATTGGTGTTTTGGGAATTTGTTCCTTCAAGATGGAGGAGGGTCATCCGTCTATCTGTTGCTTTCATTGGTTAATTAATAAAGAAAGCTGCTTGGCCTGATAGGGCAGAACTTAGATAGGCGGAGTGACCGAACAGAATGTTGGGAAGAAGGGAAGTGAAGCAGTCGCCATGACTCTCCTCTCTGAGATGGATGCAGATTAAGAATATTCCTGGTAAGAAACCACTTCATGGTGCTACACTCATTAGAAATGGGTTAATCAAGATGTGAGAGTTAGCCAGTAAGAAGCTAGAGTTAATGGGCCAAGCAGTGTTTAAAAGAATACAATTTGTGTGTTATTATTTCCAGGGCTAAGCTAGCCATGCGGGATCCAGGCAGGAATGCAGCCCGCAGCTCCTACTACAGATACCATAAGGTCAAAAAATAAATACAAATAAATTCCCAAACTAAACATTATTGGCAAAAAGAATGTATAAATATTCCACTGAGTGGTATCTTGGTATCCATCAACTACTCGGTATGGGGATTTCTTGTAAGAGTGACTCTTATCCCAGTTCATAAACTAATTTTTCTTGGGGACCTGTGGTCTATTGGAAATAGCTTAGGTAGACTATAATAGCTTGAAGAAGATCAAGAAGTGATGAATAGTACAGGAAGAGATCAAAGGAACTTTATATGCAGATGCAATGAATTTAGGTTTACAGACTCTAGGAACTCCACCAAGAATCTACTACAACTGAAATAAACGTAATCAAAATTAAGGGGTGCAAAATTAGGTAAAGATTAGAATTAAATGCTTTCTTTTTGTTAAATTTATCTTTCTTGATTCTTTGACAAGTTGGAATAGATGAGTTAACTTATGTTAGTATCTACAATTTGATTTTATTCATCAATATATCAGTTTTTCAACCATATAATTACAGTACAAATTCTGATTATATAACTGTGGAATAATTTAAAATTGTGGATAATACCCCACACATATAGTTTTACTTTTCATGATTGTTTAAACTATAGTGAGTTTTCTGTTTGTTTGTATCTATATGTTGCTGAAGACTGTCTTTTTGAGATCTTCAAGAATTGTGTTAGAAATTTGATGGGATTTTCACTGAATTAGTACATTACTTTCAATAAGATATTCATTTTTACTACATCAATTGACCAATCCTTGAGCAGGGGAATTTTTTCTATCTTCTGATATCATGTTCAATTCATTTCTTTAATCCTGAAGGTTTTTATAAGGGTCTTTCACTTTTTTATTTCAAATTACCCCAAACTATTTTCTGAGGCTATTGTAAAAGATATCGTTTCACTGACTTCTATTTAAGTCTTTTCTCATTTTTATATAGGAGCGCTACTGCTTTTCTTAGTTAATTTTGCATCCCTTAATTTTGATTCAGTTTATCTCAGTTGTAGGAGATTTTTGGTAGAGTTCTTAGAGTCTGTAAACCTAAATCATAGCATTTGTTACTTTGATCTCTTCCTTTACTATTCATCACTTCTTGATCTTCTTCATCCGTGTTACTGTTCTAGCTAAGATTTCAAGTGCTGTATTGAATACATATGGAGAGAGTGAGTACCATTTAAATGGTTCCCTGTTTTAGTGGAAAGGTTTGAATATCTCGGTTTAGTTTGATGTGGGATACAGGCTTGCTGTAAATTGTGTCTTTCCTTTGGAGGTAAGTCTCTTGCATCCCTAATCTCTCCAGGACTTTTATCAAAATGGGTTATTAATTTTGTCAAAGGCTTTTCTGAATCTAATAAGATAAACATCTGGAATTTGACTTTCAGTTTGTATAAGTGGTAGATTACATATATTGGTTTTAAATTGTTGACCTACTATATGTCTTGAGATGAAGCCTACAATAGATCACCTTTAATGATATGCTATTGGATTCAGGATGAAAATATTTTATTGAGCCTTTTGGGGCATAGCGCCTCCCTGCCCAGCCTGCTAGGACGCTGGGACCGAATACGAACCAGGAGGACAAAGGGATGGCCGGTAGCTCCTTTGTTCCCATAGCCTGCCCGCAGCGAGCAGGGTGGGCCCTTTGTTCGCGAGCTAACCAGGCAGCGCGGAGTTTCGATCTGGGCACCGAGTGAAACATCATTGTGGTGAGTGAGTGCTGCGGCAGCTGGGAACATACCTCAGCCCGCCCACACTTCCAGGCCATCCTACAGGGGCTATACTGCCCAAACCGCCTCTCTATTCCTATCCCATTCAGCTTACATCCAGATCCCCACACCCCCTGTCTCCCTCCCTCTCTCCCTCCTTTGGGGCATAGCGCCTCCCTGCCCAGCCTGCTAGGACGCTGGGACCGAATCCGAACCGGGAGGACAAAGGGGTGGCCAGTAGCTCCTTTGTTCCCATAGCCTGCCCGCAGCTAGCGGGGTGGGCCCTTTGTTCGCAAGCTAACCAAGCAGCGCGGAGTTTCGATCTGGGCACCAAGTGAAACATCATTGTGGAGAAAAATCTCTGGGGAGTGACATCACTGGGAAGGTACATCAGTGGGCAAGAAGACCTGATCCTGTAAAAGAAGATCCAAAGGGGAATATTGGGAGGAAGAGATGGGCAGACGCCAATGCAGGAATTCTCCCAACAATCTGAAAAACAACACGAAACCACCAGAAGCCAGTGACCCCACAACAGGAGGACATGAACACCTTAATCAAGAAGAAGTAGAAAAAACTGACTTCATGAAAGTGATTGACACCCTTAAACAGCATATAAAAAACGCCCTTATGGAAATGGATGAGAAGTATAATAGAAAGTTCGAGGAATTGAGTAAATCAGTGAATGATACCCTAGGAAACCAAGGAAAAACAATCAAGCAGATAAAGGAAACAGTTCATGACTTGAAAACTGAAATGGAGGCAAAGAAGAAAACACAAACAGAGGGCCGGCTGGACATGGAAAATCTAGGTAAACGAATAGAGACTACAGAATCAAGTATAACCACCAGAATACAAGAGATAGAAGAAAGAATCTCAGATTCTGAGGATAACATAGAGAAAATAAACATTCTGATCAAAGAAAACAGCAAGTCCAACAAACTCTCATCACAAAACATTCAGGAAATATGGGACACAATAAAAAGACCAAACCTAAGAATAATTGGAGTAGAAGAAGGAGAAGAAGTGCAGCTCAACGGTACAGAAAATATACTTAATAAAATTATAGAAGAAAACTTTCCCAAACTGAAGACAGATGTACCTATGAAGGTTCAAGAAGCATACAGAACACCAAATAGGCTGGATCAAAAGAAAACATCCCCTCGCCATATAATAATCAAAACACAAAATATACAGAATAAAGATAGAATATTAAGAGCCGCAAAGGAAAAAGGCCAAGTTACTTATAAAGGTAAACCTATCAGACTTACACCTGACTTCTCTATGGAAACCATGAAAGCCAGAAGGTCCTGGATAGATGTACTGCAGAAACTGAGAGACCATCGATGCAAGCCCAGATTACAATACCCAGCCAATCTTTCGTTCACTATAAATGGAGAAAATAAAATTTTCCAGGATAAAAACAAATGTAAACAATACGCAGCCACAAATCCAGCCTTACAGAAAGTAATAGGAGGAAAATCACTAACCAAGGAGTCCAACAATGACCACAATAACTCAGACATCTAGAGACTCTTCACCAGCGCAAATCAAAGAAGGAAAACACACAAACCCTACTACTAAAAAAGTGACCGGAGTTAACAACCACTGGTCATTAATATCACTTAATATCAATGGGCTCAACTCACCTATAAAAAGGCACAGGCTAAGAGATTGGATAAGAAAACAGGATCCAACATTCTGCTGTCTACAGGAAACACACCTCAACCACAAAGACAGGCACCTACTCAGAGTAAAGGGCTGGGAAAAGGCTTATCAAGCAAATGGACCTAAGAAACAAGCAGGTGTGGCCATACTAATTTCTAACAAAGTTGACTTCAAACTTAAATCAATCAGAAGAGATGGAGAGGGACATTTTATACTCATAACAGGAACAATTCATCAGGAAGAAGTCTCAATCCTGAATATCTATGCCCCTAATATAAAAGCACCCACGTACGTAAAAGAAACATTACTAAAACTCAAGGCAGACATCAAACCGCACACACTAATAGTAGGAGACTTCAACACTCCTCTCTCACCAATGGACAGGTCAATCAGACAGAAACCTAACAGAGAAATTAGAGAATTAATGGAGGTAATGAAGCAAATGGACTTAACAGACATCTATAGATTATTCCACCCAAAGAGGAAAGAATATACCTTCTTCTCTGCAGCTCATGGAACCTTCTCGAAAATTGACCATATACTTGGTAACAAAGCGAACTTACACAGTTACAAAAAAATATTAGTAACCACCTGTGTCTTATCAGATCACCATGGATTAAAGTTAGAATTCAACAACAATGCTACCCCCAGAAAGCCTACAAACTCATGGAAACTGAACAGTCAACTACTGAACCATACCTGCATTAAGGAAGAAATAAAGAAAGAAAGTCTTCCTTGAATTCAATGAAAATAAAGAAACAACATACTCGAACTTATGGGACACTATGAAAGCAGTCCTGAGAGGAAAGTTCATAGCACTAAGTGCCCACCTAAAGAAAACAGAGAAAGCACATACTGGAGACTTAACAGCCCACTTGAAAGCTCTAGAAAAAAAAGAAGCAGACTCACCTAGGAGGAGTAGAAGACTGGAAATAATCAAATTGAGGGCTGAAATCAACAAAATAGAAACACAGAAAACAATCCAAAGAATCAATGAAACAAAAAGCTGGTTCCTGGAGAAAATCAACAAGATTGATAAACCCCTATCCAAACTAATCAAACGACAGAGAGAGAACACGCAAATTAATAAGATCAG